ACTTGATTCCCTCTAACTTCAAAGATCTTTGTCCCCTATCCACTTATCGTGCCAAAAGGAAGTTTGGCAATCATCACCAGTGGACCATCTAAGGTTTCTTTGTATCAGAGGCTTATAAACAAAAATAGCCCTCCAAAAGATAGAATACCACCTCCAATCCATATCCCTTGTCTATCAAGATCATATTTTTTAAAAAGAGTTTGAAACCACAACTGCTCTCTCGAAATAAAACTACGCCACAATTATTTACATAGGAGCGAATCATTAACAGGCCCAACCTTCCTAATACCCAAATCACTTTCACTATTGGGAATACACACTCTATCCCAACGAAGAAGGTGGAATTTTCTGGACTCATCATTCGAGTCCCATAAGACATCTCTCATCATTTTTTCAATTTTCTTGGCAACAAAGGAGGGCATTTGCATTATAAACTTCTGGTAAATGGGAAGATTAGCCAAACAAGATCTAAGGATGGTAACCCTTCTCCCTAAAGAAAAGTATTTTCGTTTCCAGATGTCCAATTTAACTAGCACCATTTACATTACTTTATCTCAAACTGTAATGGGCAACATCCTATCAAAAATTAGTAGACCCAAGTAAGTAATGGGAAAACGGTCCACCTTACAACCCAAGGCCTCTACTAGATCTTTCACTAGAGTTTCATCACAGTTAATGCCCAAAAAAGAGGTTTTATCAAAATTTACTTTCAACCGCAAGGCTACTTCACAACAATTGAAAAGCGAAGTAATATTAGACACTTGCTCAATGTCTGCCTGACAAAAAATAAGTGTATCATCTACAGATGGGACATGCTAAGGTCATGATTACCCACTGTAAGCCCTGAAAAATTGTATGTACTCTCCACATTCTTGATCAACAAACTAAAACATTTAGCATAAACCGTAAAGAGGAAGGGGGAGAGCAGATCACCATGTCGGAATCCCCTAGAAACTCTAAAGAAACCTTTAGGATGGAAGAACCCCTTTAAGTCTACCAGCCAAGATTTTAACAATAATTTCATACAGGCTCGTGAGAATGCTAATAGGCCTAACATCTGATAGCACAAAAATAATACTCTTTTTAGGTATCAAGGCATTATATGTGGAATTTATACCTTAAAAAAGATCACCCCTCAATAGAAATCCCCTAACCATCTCCAATAGTTTTGCACTAACTAGATCCCCAAATTTCTTAAAAAATAAAAGGGGGAAACCATCTGGCCCAAAGCCTTATCACATGGTAGCGCAAAAAAATTTCTCTAAAGAAACTCAGGCTTCTAGGTGGCTAGAAGCATTAGCCAACAATACCTTAAAGGGAACTCTATCAAGTCTAGGGGTACTCACTTCCGAGGAGAAAGCCTTCTTGAAGTAATATGCAATAACAAATTCCATGTCATTGATATTATCCTCCTTGATTCCCTGGATAGAGATTCAGATATGTCATTTTGCCTCCTCATGGCACTAGCAATAACATGAAAATACTTAGTGCTAAGATCACATTCCTTAAGCTATTTGGATAAAGACCTTTGTCTCGAATAGATCTCCTCTACTCTAAAAAGATCATGAGGAGCCTTGAGTTTAACGTTCCTCTCCGCCACCATCTCAACAGATAAAGCTCCATTCAATTGAGTGTTAAAATCTATTGTCACCAACTCCACTAGAATCTCCTCCATCTTAGCCTTTACATTAAACCTTCTGTCCCTTTTCCATAAAATTAATCGATGTTTAATATTGAGAAGTTTCTTGTGCATCCGAGAGTCCATAGGGCCATAAGTAACATTGTTTTCCCAAGTAAACCTAATAAGCTTCACAACCTCCTCCTCCAACCACCCAATCTCCATCCCAAAAGGCCTAGGTGCCTCCCTAGTCATATTTATTTTAAGAGCAATCAAAGTATGATAAAGAGGAAAGATGAGGTAGGGCTCTCACCGCAGCCAAAGGAAAGACATTCACCCAGCTATCAATAGCTAAAAATCTATCCAACTTAAGGCACAGATAGATTAGAAGAACTACTATCTGTCCAAGTAAAGGTTAAACCAGAAATAGGAAAGTTTAATCAAAGAGAAGCTCTCAATAAAATGATTGAAAAGCCTCATAGTTGACTTAATTGGACCCCCAGAAGAAGACTCATTTGGCCACTGAATAAACTTAAAGTCACCACCAATGCATACAAGAAAATTATAATTTTGAATACAATTAACCATATTATTTACAAACATTTCTTTAAGCACAGAAGTATGTGGGCCATAAACATTCAAAAGGCCCCAAGAAAAACCAGGCCTAGGCTTCCGAAAACCAACAAACAACATACTATCCCTATGAAAAGTATCAAAACTTTGAAAGATTAAAGGAACCCACATTACCCACATACCTCCCGAAGCACCAATAGAATCCAAACACGCAAAGGTTACTGCCCTTGAGCCCCAAACTTCCCTAACCCCATAAACTGAGGGGCTGGGAAGTTTGGTCTCTTGCAAAATAAGAACAACATGTTTGTACTTTCTAACTAAAAACAAAACATCCATTTTTTTCCTGGGGTCACCAAGACCCCTAACATTCAAAGATCAAATAAACATTAAGGGGGATTAAGAGAAGATGAACCTGGACCATCAATACAAGGTCTGAAATATGTCGTGTTAAGCGCTAAAGCCTCCTCTAGAGTTAATGAACCTGAATAACCAGACTATGAGGACGAGTCAGTCCTCAGAACAAGCAATGTGGCATCAACATATTTAACAGTTTTGTTATGGGCACCTCCAAAGATCACACCCCTCGCTGCAAGTCTAGTTGAAGACCTAGTACATTTGGCCACTCCTTTACCATTACTGCTACCAACATTCTTAACAAGTGACTTGTAAGTGACTTCTGAGGAACATCATGACCAATTGCCTCTTGAACCTTATTTTTCTCACCCTCTTCTTGCTTTCTTCATTTTTTAATCTCATTAAAATTAATACCAAGTGGAGCTTCAGAGTCGGTTCCTATATCATTGAACATCTTCCTGACCTTTCCTTCTTCTTCCGTATCCTCTGTTGCAGCTCCTAGATTAGACGTTTCAACATTTGGTAAAAGCAGACAGAACTTCCAGAGGCACGACCTCCTCTGCCTCCACCATAGCACCTTGATCATAAAAAAAGTCTTCACTATCTACATCTTCCATCGCAGCTTGGGCACAAGTTGAATAGGCTCCATATCATCATCTGAATCAACAAAGATAATAGCAAGTGGATCATCTTCAAATGGTCAAACATTTGCCTAGGTGAAGAGGGTAACCCCATCTTAGCAGCACCACAAAAAGGCAAAACTCTCATTCTTTCTTTGATAAGTAAAAAGCAAATGATCAACAACGCTTCTAAGTAAGCTCAATGATGAAAAAAACCCAATTTAGTAAGCAAGAGCAGCACCATCCCTAAAGTGCAACCAATATCCAGATGTAAGTCCTTAAACATCGGTAACATAACCTTTGAAGCAGGGAGAGATTTGGTAAATAAATCCAACTGGTTGATTTGAAAGCAACTTGTCATAAAAGGACAAAGAAGTGCTTTTAAGAGAGCCCCTATTCCTTGCCGCTGATATATTTGTAATGCCACTTGGTTTCTCAATGCCGTCAATCCCCTTTTTTCAAAGAGAGAGGCCATCAACTCCGAAAGGTGAGGTTGCATGACCATCCAAAATCACTTAAATAGTCCCTCAAACTCATTGTTTTCCCTTTCTTGGATGGGATTAAATCAACTTCCAATGCATCCAAAATCCCTACCTCTTTGGAAACTGCCACAGCCTCCTATGTAATCCCATCTCTCGAGTAATCCACCACAACGTCAAGAAAATGTCCCACCGGAATCCAATATTTTTTCAAATTTGAAAAAACCTGGTCGTTTTTCCTATTGTTATGCAAATTCCAATTCTAGTGACATCCAACCTGCACCGGTCTTGGACCTTTCTGAGGCAAAACTTCATGGCACTCATCCACTTTAACCACATCATCAGGGGTGTCCTTCTCAACCTGTGTTGGATAATCTACACCATCATATGTTGTAATCTTAATAAAAACAGTCATCCTTAGCCACCTGCAAAAGAACTTCATGAGGAAGAGCACTACCTTTCGATCTCCAAATATTGACTCCCACTGAATAGCAATCATGGCCTAAAAAGGACGTCCAATCCAAATCACAATACTCACTATATGTATTAGCAGTGTTTTGGATCACAAATAAACTCCAAGCATGAAATGGAATGCCCTACAGTTTAATTCAAATACCTACTTTTTGAAAAAAAGATGAATGATCTGAAGGCTTCCATTGGTCCAAAGAAAGGAGTTTACCTCGGACGCTGGGAAATGTAAATTGAAGTGCACACTGAATCTCAAAATCTGATCTAAGAACAAAAAACACCTTATTTTCACCTAAAATCCTAACCTCCGGAGCATATTGAAGAACCCAACCTTTTCTAGCCCAATCCCCCAGACTAAAAGTATCATTAGAAGGTGGGGAAAAAGATCCTACTACACAATTTTTGGTCGTCTTCAAACCATCTCCACACAACTTAAGATCTACAGGAGCCAAAGGCAGAGCCATCATCAACCCCTAGCCATAATTTAAAGCAAAACCTTTACCTCGTCCTCTTTTCCTTTTTGTGATTTTCTATCTGCCCAACCTAAAAAGATCATTTACTTTTAAACCAAGGAGTCATAATTACTCTCGTCTGTTATATTTCAAATGAGGTCGTTGTGAATTATCATTCACTAATGACAAAGTTTAAATTTTTTTTGAGCTTTATGAAATACCTCAAGCCATTCAAATTGACATCCAATGGGCTAAGTGAAATTATGATCCTCTTGTCACAAAAATAAATATTCTCACGGCATATAATCCCTGATAAAAAAAAGTGGGTTTGTTTTCTCGAGGGCGGTATATAATCCCAATTAAAAAAGTGGGTTTATTTTCTCGATGAACCAAACGACCCTTCAAGGCTTTCGTTATCCAACCAGGACGAGAAAGAGAGTTACCTCTGCTCATAGAAGATCTTGTTGGTCGTGAGGGGCATCACGGTCGAATAAATTGATGGACGACCTTCATAACAATTGATATTCTACAGTCATGTGGATCGATCATGAAGCCCAATTCCTTTCCAAATAAAGCGCCTTGCTCTCTGTTCATGTGCATGGCAACGAGACCGTGAACGCAGAAGAGGAGAGCAGTGGACACAGGAGAAGGGAGAGAAATGACGACGATGTCTCGTTTAGGGTTATCGACATGCCTCAATCAAACTTCTTACTTCCTTTCATCACCACCATCGCTCTCACTTCACCATTCTCTCCTCTCACCAATAAGTTGCAGATGCTTCTCTTCTACTCGCCATTGCTGGAGGCGGGAATCGTCCCTTGGTCCCTTACATGCATCCCCCAAATCTTCTCTCTCCTCTGTTTCAATTACCAATGGTATGCCCTACATTTGTTTTCTGTGAAAGTGTTTGGTGGGTTTGGTTCTGATTTTCCGTTAATTGATTGGTTGATTGTGTTTCAAATGCCCCTGTTTCTCAAGAAACTATCACTGGTGATTCTGATTTCATTCAAATCGGCTACATTTGCAATGTTCATGGCCTTAAAGGGGAGCTCCGCGTAAAACCGACCACTGATTTTCCGGAACTGCGTTTGGCTCAAGTACCGTTTGTCCTCTGTCTCTCTCTATCTTCTGTTTAGTTGTAGTTTCCTTTTGTTTGGATGATCCTTTCTTAGTTGGGAGTTGCGTTCTGCTAGGTGTCGTGAATTAGACCGCTGTTTCTTTAGCTTTTATTCATTTTGGGCTCTGTATGGATTTGCTCTTTGTTGCAGCACTTTCTGCTGGTTTTAAAATAAATTTTGGCGGTTGTATTTTCTCTTTATACAAATCTGCTATTTGTTGCAGCGTTTTCTGCTATTTTTGAACTAAAGTTTGGGTGTTGCAGCCAGGAAGAAGATGGTTGAGAATCTCGGTAGCTGGAAAAGAAACGATTCAGGAGATTGAGCTCTCTTCTGGAAGTGGCCACCCGAGCCAGAAGACATGGATCCTTACATTTTCAGGGATTGATTCCGTAGATAAGGTGAAACTTTCTTCATGGGCTTGTGTTATTCTGAGGGAAATACTAATGCTAGAGTAGTAAGGACTACACAATTTCCAGTATGAGTAAGTATAAAACTATCATAAGTGAATACAAATTTATGAAAAGGGATAATGGACACAAACTCGTGCAAGTATAAGAGATATCACCTTATGACAAATGAATAAGAATGTGGGAATTTAAGAGGAGCCGACCATCCACCTTGTGCCACTACTTGACGTGTAAGTTCTCACCTTGAGTATACGGTTAAACACAAAATCGTAGTTTTTTCTATAAATAAAGGAACCGTGCATTATGTCGAGTTCTCTTTCCTTTGTTGCTTTGCTGAGTGAGCTTTCCTAATTTCTTTTTAATTCGATGCATAACCTACTCGTGGGCTATTTTTCCTAGTTGTAAGTTAGGATTGCTAAATATGCATTTTCCAGTTCTAGGGGGCATAGAAATTCAGGTGAACTTAAGTTGTATAATGTAGCTGCTTCTATTGATGGTCAACTTGTCTGATTTATGTATTCATATCATTATTGAGACTACTGTTCCTTCTTCCTGAAGTGGAATTGGACAAATAGAATTGATAATCATATAGGATTAATTCATTTTCTGAAATCTATAGTTTATGAATGTCACATGGGCACATGATTAAGATTAAATTGTGTACGGTCAAGTTATTATTAATTCATTCAAGGTGTCACACATATCTGTTGATCTACATCACATGTGCCAACAATAAACATGCGGAATGTCATAGAGAGTATAGAATGTACGTGTATGTATTTTGGGGATGTGGGTGACTGGCTGCCAATTCTGTTTTATTTTGCAGCCATTATTATTATGTGAATTAAGTGTTAGATGGAAGTGTAGTGATGTATGCAGTTGGGGCATCCTAACAGACTGAGAGATTTGAACTTTGTTCCTAATGACCCGATCAATTTGATCAGATGCTCAACATCTATTTTCATTGTTCAATTCTTTGTGTTTGACAACATGAAAAACAAAGCCTCCAATGTAATATTGAAATATAGATTAAAAAAAGAGATTCTTATATATATAGATGTAGATACATATGTAAACATACCTAACTGATTTGATGGGTTCCTAATAGTTCACCATGATAGTGCTAGTTGATGAGAGTTACTTTAGGAGCCATTAGAGCAAACTAAATTTTGGCCATTTCCAACCTTGTGACTACTTTAGTCACTAGCCCTGCATTTGACATCCCTCTCCTTGCGGTTAAGGTACTAACTTACGGCAAGGCCTAGGAACATTCCTTGCTGTATGGATGAGGACGACTGCTAGTGATTCCAGTTCATGGAGGTGAGTTTTTTTTTTTGACAAGTTAATGCAGGGGAGTTGCAACCTGCAATCTGAACTAAAGATGGGTTTTTGGAGTTAGCTGACCCTTGTGGGGCTGCAATTGTTTGTTCCAATCGGACCTTTGTAGCACATGTGTCGCCTAGGGAAAGGGGTTTAGATGGCATTAGATCACAAGTTTTTTGAGTTGTTACAAACTCAAGATATTCAAATGGCATTTAAAAAATAAATAAATAAATGACCAGAACATGAATATGCAAGCTCACCCATTTTATTAATGTGTGGATGCCCACTGATACTCTCTCTCTATATATAAACTTTATGGAGCCCTTATTAAGAGATGTAGTGAAGTATTTTAAGAATTTGAATTACCATAGAGATGGGTGGGAAAAGTGTGAGGTCAATCATGTATGATAGATTGTTCCATGGCCATTCAGTTGTCAATTATTTGATCGATTGCCCCAAGTCACTTTGTTCTTGAATCTGTTGATGCATCAGCCCATTCACACTATGCAAATTACTTGTTTGAGTTGTAGGATTAGATTGTTGATGAGGTTTGGGGAAGTGCATGTTGTACAAATTATCATAGACTATGCTGTCAATTATTCTGTACCTTGATATTTGTTGACAATGAAAATACTCCACGTGCCACTATCTAAATCCCATGAGGTCATAGGGAAGGTTCCCATTGTTAAAGGGGCAATTCACAAAGCTAAGGCAATCATTGTTTCCATGTATAACCATACATTAGTCTTAAGCATGATGAGGGAGTTCACAAAGAAGTGAGAGATAGTGAGACCAGAAATTACTAGGTTTTCCACAACATATCTCATTCTTTAAGGCTTATGCAAGCATACAGCTGCTTTCAGGAGCATGTTTACTTCCAAAAAGTGGACTAGAAGTGGTTGCAGCATCCGGATGGGCGTATGTCTGAGCAAACCATGTTAAATGCATCTGTTTAGTGTGGAATCCACTTTACATTGGGCTTTTCTCATCCTTTAGTGAAAGTGCGAGTTTTAGTTGGTCATGATGTGAAGCTTGCCATGACTACCTACATGAGGGAATGATTTGAGTGAAATAATAGATGGCTCATTCGGCTCTATGGTTATGCAAACTCAGGTTTTGATTCATATCCAAGGTATTTGCAAATCCTAGGATATGCAAACCTAGGTTATTGGGACGAAGATATTTGGATAGCTTTTAGATGGAACCTAGGATATGCAAATCTCTTGTTTGAATCAGCTGTTTAAAAATATTGTATTTGCTATATCTTTCTATTTTCATGTTAAAAAAGTTTTCTTAATGCTTCATTGTTTTTATTAAAAATAATCTATTAGATCTACCATGATTTTGAAGGGAAATATTTATTTAATTACACGATAAATTATAAAAGGTAATGCTAATATTACTTCTCAAAGGTAATATTTTTAACTAATATTAATTCAACTTGTAACTGTTTCATTCAAATTATCATAATTTTACCATCCTTCGTATCGGGGATTAATGTATTTTTATTTTCTTAGATGTTAAAGACAATGATTCTGAGGACAGTAATGCCACCTAGTTTCTGTTGGTTTGATATAGCAACAAAAACTCATACAGTTGCAGACACATGGAAATAATCAATCAGCTGATTGAGAGCATTGAGTGCCAAAAAATAAAAATAAAAATGACGAATTGGATGGTAAAAGAAGAACTATATGACCACATACCATTACCAACCCTGGAAAAATGGAGTACCGAAGAAAACCAGTATACAAACAGCAACATATATTGATATAAACAAAACAGAGGGATAAATCAAGCGAAAGAGCCTCAAAAAATACACAATATAACAAATCATCCATCTCAGATATGAAAATCAATGCCCAACAGCCTAAAACATTTGGAAAAAAAGCCATAATCCCCAACCTCTAAGAGCCACAAAAATATCTGTAGCTAGAGAGAGAATCATCTATATTGCATATTGGGTATCAAAATATTAGCTACTCAAAGGAATAGAAATTACGGGCAATTGAAGAAGGTAAAAGAAACATACCTTATAGAGAGTTGCAGGCAATCTCAATGCTAACTCTGATGATATCTCTATTAGTTCTGAGGTTTATCGAACTCCGATGCGAAGATCACAGATGGAGGAGAGAGGCTTTTTGCAAATGGAGAAGATGGAGGAGAAAGGCGATGGTTTTGAAATGAAGAAGAGAGCTACGAAAAGATTGGCAGAAGAACAAAGTGGAAATAGGAGCAAAAAATAAAACAATGCTGGAAAGAGGAAGAGGTGTTTGGTGAAGCTTCAATGTAGACCCACAGAGAAATAGTGTAGATGGAGGAGTGAGAGGAAGTCTGTAAATGGTGGATAGAGAGAGAGAGATGAAGTTTATATATAGCGAGAGTATCAATGGCCATCCACACATGAATAAAAAGGGTGAGCTTGCATAATTGTGTTCTACTATTAATTTTTTTTTATATATAATGACATTGCATATCCTGAGTTTGGGCCTTTTTTGGGGATGATACTCATATCCTTTAACGAGGATAGAGCCCTGTTTTTTCTTTTTGCCGAATATGTTTCTGGTCTCAATTCCAGGATTTGCAAATCATGTAGTTGCAGACCCTAGTATCCAAACGAGCCATATGTGGGTTCTTAAGGATAATGAAAGCATTTACAAGCCTATAATTGAGAGTGTTGATAGGTGAGGGGACACACTGCTTTGCTGGCTCCGCCATGCAGCTGGATAGTTTTTTAGTCCATTCCTTCATTACAAACACCCAACCACCTAATCAGATCTTTCAATCATTGGGGCTTCTTGGATATTCTTTAGACCTTAGTCCCGGATCAGATTATATGAGATGGAATCCAGAATTATGAAATTAATGAAACTTACTTACGCTTTAGGGGATTTCGGACAAGATATTGCTGTATTGACAGGGATACTGCAAACCAGGTAACCGAAATTGTATGAATTGCTTCTTGAAACTAAAAAAAGGGAACTTCGTTGTTTTTCTCTATACTTGTATTAAATATTTAAATGTGTAAATGAGTGTTGGCAATTTATGGGAGTGAGACACAAGTTTACAACATCTCATGATTCGAGTATTGAGCCTCATCCGCTCTTTAATGTGTACCAAACACATTGAAGTAGGTTATCATTTCACTCTAGAAACGCTCCAGGCATACGAATAAAAGATATGGCAGATGATGTGTATCGAAACTGTATGCGAAGATGACTGAACTTCATTGCAGCCAAGTTGGCTTTGCATGATATACGTCCTTGATTTTAGGGGGAGTGTTGTATAGAGTGTATAAAATGTGTGTGCATGTTTCTGTTTATACCCTGAAGATTACTATGTGAATTACTTGAGTATTACTGTCTTGTGCCGTGTAATGCATATATGAATGGGATAAGCATGGAGGCTATCACTTCTACTTCTCCAAAAAGTTGTGCCCTTTCTTGTTCTCTAGCTCTTGGTGGGTGCTTACATTGGGGTCCACCCCGGGTTTTGTTGTTCATCTTTTGAGTTTGAGGGCAGGTGGTTTTGTGAAAGAGAACTGAAGAATCTCTTATTTTCGTTGGACATCAGAGGCCTGTTTTCTATATTTCTCTTTGATTCATGTGTGTGGCCTTCTTTGCAAATTTTTGAAGTGTTTTGGTTTTGTTATTATGGGGTTTTGGGCAGCATTGAACAGAAACCACGTTGGTTTTTGACTGATATACCTGAGTCTCTTGGTCTTCTCAGGTATTAGTTTATAAGCTTCATTATTTGAAACTTTAGCATCCACATGCTCATACAACTGTGCCAATATTTATCATATAACTTTACGTTATTAAAAGAGCATCATTCCCCTTAATAAGCCTTCTTCGAACTGAGTTAGAAAAATGAATTGGGAAAAGAGAGTGAGCAGTGATGGGAGCAAGAGATGGAAAGAGGGGACAGAGATGAAGAAACTTCTCTTAAGAACTCCTAGTTGATGTTGAAAAAATTCAGGAAAGAAACAAGAAAAGGTACTTGTTGTGCATCTTTGGTTCTTTTTCTGTTCTGAGGGCATTTAATAGATGGTGAGAAATTCAGATGAAGAAACCTATCTTAGGAACTCTTAGTTGGAATACTTTAGGAAAAAAGGCAAGAAGATAAGGGACTTGTTGGGTGTCTTTTGTTGTTTTACTGTCTGAAGGCATCTAAGTCATTCACCTCCTATCTGAAACATGTTTTGGGTTTCATTTTTTTCTTAAGAGAATCTCCAAGTTATATGTTTCCTGCTTTGCAAAATTTGCCAGCTAAGGAAACTTTCTGCATGAAAATGCCTGTATTATGTCATAGCCTCACCAGCAAATTCAAACTTTGTTTCCAATAAGTGGCAATACAAAGATATCATGGTAGACATCTCTAAACGCATTTAGGGTTGGATGAGAACCCCTCCAAATGGATGTGGGATCATTCTGTTTTACTTCCAAAGCAATAAAATGGCATCTCCTTTGGGCAAAACATTTCTCGTTTTTTTCCCCTTTTTTTTTTTTCCACTCAAGAACATTAATGCTGTCTGCGTTATCATCTAACTTACCACTGTTTTCCTTTATCTTAATTGACATTCCTGGTATGTACTCTGTCTCCCATATATCTGTGATGCATAAGGTTGAATTGTGAAGTTCTATTTACTCGTTCATAATTATAGGCGGTTCTTCTCTCATAGAGATTTATGATGGTGGCCCTTATTTGCCGTTCAATTGTTTAGTACATCTAAGTTTAATTAAGTGGTAAGCATAGAATTTTAATTGTTTTCTGTGCCTTATTTGTTTCAGGCAAGGCAACTTGTAGGATCAACTTTACTTGTAAGGGAAGAAGATAGGCCAACTCTGGAGGAAGGCGAGTTTTATACTCCTGATCTTGTTGGCATGAGGGTTATTATGAAGGTTTGTTCTCACGCTGGCATGTTTCTTAATATGTTTAGCTTATCAAAAACAAGAGTTTTCTTATGGAATTTAAATTTTTTATGCAAACGAACTTTGAGTGGCAAGACAAGAAAGGATAGAATTCAGAATGAATAGATTCGAGGGAATTTAGGTGTGGCTTCAATAGGGCATTAAGATGAGAGAAAGTAGACTTAGGCGGGCTGGCAACATAAGATTAATACAACACCGGATAGGAAGTACGATTTGGTTCAAGTTGAAGACCATAAAAGGGAATGGGGAAGGTCCGAAAGGACATGGATGGAAGTAGTGGGAAAATATATAGTGACTTATGATTTTGCTGATGGTATGGCCCTTGATAGAGCAGAACAACAAAGTATGCTTCATATAACCGACCCCAAATAGTTGGGATAACGCTCGGATGTTGATGATGATTACGATGCAAGTGAACTTTAAATGAAGGACTTGAAAGAGATTTTTTTTTTCTCTCACTTTGGGTTGGGAGTATAGTAATTTCTAAGAAATTCATGTATGCGAGCCCTTTTTGTAAGTCCTTGGTAGGAGCATGTTTCAGTTAAATCAAGCTTTATTTGTGTTCTTTAATTTTTTTTGTAATATGCATTTCTAATATTTGATTCTTTTTTCTATTATGTGCCTTTTTTTTTAATAATATAAATATATGGGCTGTACCATTGAAGATGTTAAAAAACTGCGATTTTTTCCTTGTTCTTGTTATGTGTTGGAATTATATTCAGCATTCTTATTGAGAAGTCTGTTTAGTGAAGGCTTCAAGCTAGCAGAAAACATGTAAAATAACGCTTAATGATGAGATCAGATGGCCTTTTAAGGGAACTACTCTACTTGAAGCCAATGGTTGAAATAGTTTAAGGCAGCGTTGAGGCTGCTGTTGGGGGTTGTCTTGGATTCTAAGCGACCTCACGCTAGGTAGCTTGGCAATCAAGCTATCTTAGGTTGCTTGGGAATGAAGCTAGTGCCCTCAATATAAAGGTGTGGAGAAACTTTGGGGTGAATGAAAGAGAGGGAGAGGTGTAGAGAAACCTTGGGGTGTGTGCAAGTGGGAAAGAGATTTCATAAGATGAATATAAGTCTAAATATGACATGCTTTATTAGAGATTGAGATTATAAGCGCTTCTATTCTTCTCTGGAGTAACAACTATTTTGCACCTTTTACTCTTGCATGGTGAAAAATAGTCGATTGTCTTCGCCAACAGATGTAGTCGCATCTGTGATGAACCATGTAAATTCCTATGGTCTTGCTTGCATGATTTTCTTGCTTTGGCCTTTTTCTTGTACTTGTTGCTTGCTTGTGGTTGTTATCTTCTCACTCTTTACTTCGTCAAAAATCAAGCTATCGGGTTTTATAGACTCTGTGCACTTAATAAGTGGTATTAGAGCTTCGTTTTGGTTTTTCATGATAGCATTGAAGGTTTCAATCCCAAAATTCAAGGTAGAGAAATTTGATGGCAAAAACATCTTAGGAATTAGGCATGTCAGTTTTTGGGACTTGCAAAACTTGTCCAGGAAAGAGTTAGTGGGAAGAGGCCATGATTGATAGACTTAACTCAATTAAACAAAACCATATTTGGGACCTAGTAACCCTAACCCTTGATAGAAAACCTATAGGCCGCAGTTGAATCTTTTAAAATAAAACTGAATTTGGAAGGGAAGCTAGAAAAGTACAAAGCAAGATCAGTAGTCAAGTAGTTTACTCAGAAAGAAGGGGTAGATTATGATAGGACCTTCTCTGTTGTAGCTAAGTTCCCCTTTATTAGGATCCTAATAGTAATAGCCATAGCAACCCTTTTTGACTTTGTATTCCACAAGATGGATGTAAGGACAACTGATACTAGACTTATCTTTGCCATGAGCATGATTAGTAGGTTCTAAAGTAATTTGGACATGGAGCGCTGGAAGGCGATTAAAAGAGCTCTGCAATATTTGAAGGGAACGGTTAATCTCGTTCTCACTTATGATGGAGGCTCGGATATTCAGATACAAGGATATTTAGATGCAGACTATCAGGGCGATCTAGATGAAATGAAGTCCACATTCGTGTTTATCTTGCTGATGGAGCTGTTTCTTATGCTCAAGGAAATAGGACATCGTGGTACTCTCGATTATGGAGTTGGAATATGTGGCCTGTTGTCTCGCAGAAAAATAAGCCATTTGGTTGAAGAAGTTACTAAATCAACATAGATTTGACCTAGTAGAGAGCCTATGTATGAGGATCTTCTGCAACCACAAGGCAAGCCACTGTTTCCTAAGAAATCCAGGCACATAAAGATGGCAATTACCACATTTGTGATGGGATCTGAGCAGGTGAGATCGAGGTGGATTATCTCCCGATGAAGGCTATGCTAGTAGATCCTTTGGCTAAGGATTAGTGGCAAATGTGTCTGCCAAACTTGTATGTGAGATGGGCATGAGAGAGAGTAAGAGGGAATGATTGTATGTCCTTCAAAGGCCAGATGGGAAATGTTAGGGTTTTGTGGCTTTTATTGTCTGTGAGACTATGTAAAAATAATAAATATTGTGAATTATGCACTTTAGTGGGAATGTATTTTGGATGGCTGACCTTGGGATGGGCAGCGTATAGTTCAGGTCATTTCCAAAACCTTTTCTCTTAGGTGTAAGCACTATACTTGAGGGTTTTATGGGGGGTCATCCCTTGGTGAGGTCGAAAAGATGCCAATGGATAATGTTTTGTAGGCTAAGACATCTTCATGGTCTCCTATTTGCGGTTGTAGGCTTGTTAGAGAGGGGCAAATCCTTAACAAACTTATGCATTGTATGTTTATATGACAACCACATGGTAGAAAACAACCTTATAGAGGGATGCATGCACATATGCATAGAGAGTCCCCTTTGCACTATAATGATACGTGCATGTAACTTGCTCTTAAAGGGAGAACTTGTAATCCACATACTAGGATCGTGGTTCCCCCATTTATTGGCCAGCTTTGACATGCCAATCATGAGCCTCTACACATGACTGTGGGTCTTATTTCCGTTGGGTTGGTTTGAGAAGATAGTTTTGGATCAATGATCTTAGCATGGGTGGAGTGCTCTGACAATCAATTTTCGTAATCTATTAGTATTGATCCACTTCTAGAGGTATTTCTGAATGTTTTAGAATTTTTAAGAAATTTAAAAATATTGTTTATAACTTTATTTATATTATTTTTGGGGGGCCAAGGGCCTTGTATATAACTTTATTTATTTATATAATATTGGTTATTATTTTAATTTTTTTATAATTTTGTTTAATGGTTTAAAACTCTGAAAGGGCATTTACGCAATTCCTAAAACTTTCAGGGCATATTGGGACCCACATGGGGGGCCAAGGGCCCAGCCCCCAACATGTGTGAAACACATGGAGTGGGTGTGGGGCCCAATGGGCCACACCCCTACATAGTGGGATACCCCACATATTCCTCAGTAATTTGGGAGATCTTGTGGGGAATCCAATAAAATTTGAAAAATATATTGTTTGTTACAAGAAACCTTTGGAAAATCTCAAGGAAAGATTTTGTGAGAATATTTTTTGTATGTAAAGAATAATTTGTGTTTAGAAAATACTTTTTCAAACATTGAATTTTGACTAAGACTCTTTTGACTTTGAAATTTTATAATCCCTTTGTGTGGGAAAAGAAATTCTAGTCAAAACAGAAGATGAGTTTTGACTAGCTTTATTCTAGACTGACTATAAGTGGATATGCGTCAAAAGATTCAGGGGTTAAGACTCCTCCCTAAATCATGATGGTTGATTGTTTGGTTGGATGGCTCTAATTTGTTTCTCTCTCACCTCACAGATTACTTGGAATTTTTTTTGTCAAACTGAATCCTAATATAAGTGGAATACTCCACGTCCTGAGGGCTATATTAAATTCTACATAGCCAGACCTTTCACTTTTTCCCTTCTTTTGTCAGATACGATAGTAGTGCTTACTGCTCCTTATTAACAATTCTTGGGGTTGTTTGTTGGTCTCCTACCACCACCATTGGGGTTTACTTATGAGCAAGAAAGTGCCAGAACAGCCATTGCGTCATCTTCATTTAGATAATTGTGTTGCTCTATATTTATATTATTCGATTTATTTATGTTGCTGTAAGCCACCATAGCGTTGTTTTGATGATCTATTGCAAAAATAATTAATGGTAGACATTTACATTGTAGAGTGGGAAATGAAGCCAATGCAAATGGCTGCTGATATATGGATGTCAGAAATGTTTTCTTGCATGTTTAGTTGCTGGAGGAATTCAACATGTCACTTCTGCTGGAATTTTGTGGACAACGGGGGATAGGAAAGCTGTAAGTTCTAATGGGCGTGTGAGTCTTTGCTTATAACATGGTTTGAAATTGTTAAGCTGTTGTTGTTCTTATGATGATGCAATTATCTTACTGATGATGATTTTTGGGTATTCATGAGCTAAAAAAAGACTTAAAGACTTTAATGTGAATATCATGGGAAACTGAACTAGTTTTAGGCATGAAAGTGTCTTGCTCTTGGAGTGGTATCCATCTCGCTGTGATCACACCGAATTCACTATTAATGCTGATAAGCTGTGTTAAACTAGTTATCTAATTTGGGATTGGGACCATTACTATACTCCTTATATGGACGGGCTACCCATGTCCCAAAAATGGCTCCTGTGCCCCCAATGCCTTTTGCCCCATCCTTTCTCTTAAGGATTGTAATTCATCATAAACCTGAAGGATATCTTGTCTAGAAGCGGTTTGGACACACTAGCAAATTCTCTTCTCTAGTAGTGGGGCTGATACCGAGTACTTGGTACTTAATAATTGCATACCAACTCCACCACAAGCAAATAAAAAGCTAGAGAGGGAGATAGTGACAGCATATTGTCCAATTCACAGCAACGGAGCCTTAGAGAAAATCGAGAGAGAGAGAGAGAGAGAGAGAGAGAGAGAGAGAGAGAGAGAGAGAGACGTAACGAACGTAACG